AGATAGAGGCAGAGAACAAGAAGAAGAGACAGGAGACAGAAGAGACAGCTGAGGAGACACCCCACGGTGTCCCCTCTCTCTGTCTCCGGGTCTTATTGAGTCTCCTTTTAGAGGCAGCAAAACCCTTCTCCCCCTCCTGCAGAAAATACACTCTCACTGGGGCCCCCACACCTACAACCCAGCAGCAGCAGCAGCAGCAGCAGCAGCAGCAGCAGCAGCAGCGGTATCAGCTGAGTTTCAAGGGCCCTCNCAGCAGCAGCAGCAGCAGCAGCAGCAGCAGCAGCAGCAGCAGCGGTATCAGCTGAGTTTCAAGGGCCCTCTATGCTTGGAGCTGCTGCTGCAGGAGGTCACCACTCTCCTCTTAGTAGATAAAGACAGACTAGAAACCCTTATCGGTTTGCTGCAGCACCCTTCAGGGCCCCCCAGGGGGCCCCCTGGGGGGCCCCCGGGGGGGCCCCCGTGGGGGGCCCCGGGGGGGGCCCCATGGGGGCCCCTGCAGCAACATCACAGCCTCTCAGCAGCTGGTGAGATCCTCAGGCGATTCACACTGCCCCTGTGCATGCAGGCGTGCGCCCCGCTGCAGCCTGAAGCAGCAGCAGCAGCAACAGCAGCAGCAACAGCAGCAGCAACAGCAGCAACAGGGGTTGCTGAGGGGGATGACGACGGTTGGGTTTCATACGAAGCTGTTGCTGCTGCAGCAAGGGCTAGCTCTCGTGTCTCTTCTTCTGTCTCCTTTTTTTGCTGCTGCACTCGGCAGCTGCTGCCTCCTCTGTTGCTTGTCTCCGGAGACACAACAAAAGGAGACACTTTGCTGCTGCGGTGTACAGACAGCTGCGCAGCAGCAGCAGCAGCAGCAGCAGCAGCANAAAAGGAGACACTTTGCTGCTGCGGTGTACAGACAGCTGCGCAGCAGCAGCAGCAGCAGCAGCAGCAGCAGCAGCAGCAGCAGCAACACAAAACTGCTGTCTCCTCTCCTCCCCCCCCCAGTCTTTCGCTGTCGCCCTTCTTTTTCTCTTCTGCCATTTGGGGGCCCCAGGGGCCCCCTTCCAGGGGCCCCTACCGGCAACCTACAGCAGCAGCAGCAGCAGCAGCAGCAGCACGCTGCTAGCAGCAGCACCACCTGCTGCTGCTGCTGCTGCTGCTCGCGTAGCTCGAGCTGTGGGGCTGTCTTTTCAGGGGACAGCCCTTTGGGGTGAGGGGCCCCTCTGTGCATGCGGGCGGTGTCTCCTCTCAGCAGCTGACAACAGGGGGGCCCCGGGGGGCCCCCCGGGGGCCCCCCAGGGGGGCCCCCCGAGAGGCAAAGCACAGAGCTTCCTCTCGGCTGTCTGCGCAGTTGCTACTTTCGCTGCTGCAGAGCACGAGCTGCCAGCGGGTGCAGCCGGAAGCAGCAGCAGCAGCAGCAGCAGCAGCAACAGCAGCAGCAGCAACAGCAGCAGCAGCTGCTGCTGCGGCTTCAGTTCCTTAGCGAGGCTTTCTGCCTTTGTCGTTCTTTGTGACAAGGTGCTGCAGACGCTTGCTGCAGAACTGCAGCAGCAGCAACAACAGCAGCAGCAGCAGCAACAGCAACAGCAGCAGCAGCAGAAACCCCGGCAGCAGCAGCAGAAGCAGCAGCAGCAAAAGCAGCAGCAGCAGCAACAGCCTGAAGGAGATGAAGGGGCGTGGGGTCCTATGTTTATCCCCCCGGGGCTGCGGCGGTGGTTCCTAAGGAGCAGCAGCAGCAGCAGCAGCAGCAGCAGCAGCAGCTTGCGTGCCTCTCTGCTGCCTGCAGCAGGGGACAGTATGAGGCTGGAAGGCCTTTTAGCTGTGAGTCGATTGTCTTTGTGTTTTTTTTTGTCTCCTTTTGTCTCCTTTTGTCTCCTTTTTGTCTCCTTTTGTCTCCTTTTGTCTCCTTTTTGTCTCCTTTTGTCTCCTTTTGTCTCCTTTTTGTCTCCTTTTGTCTCCTTTTGTCTCTTTTCTGTCTCCTTTTTGTCTCCTTTTTGTCTCCTTTTGTCTCCCTTTTTTGTCTTCCTTTTTTGTCTCCTTTTTGTCTCCTTTCTGTATCATCTCTTCTTCTGTCTCTCTCTCTGTTTTTTTGTTTCTCTGTTTGTCTCTTTCTGTCTCGTTCTGTCTCCTTCTGTCTCTTTCCCTCTGTCTCTTCCTTTTTCTGTTTTTATCTATCTCTCTGTCTCTGTTTCTCTCTATCGCTTTCTGTCTCTATTTGCATTTGTGTCTCTCTTTCTCTCTATCCCTTTCCGTCTCTGTTTGTATTTGTCTATCTCTCTTTCTCTCTATCTCTCTCTGTCTCTGTCTGTCTTTCTCTGTCTCTCTTTCTTTCTTTCTTTCTCGTTTGTCTTTGCTGTCTCCTTTTCTCTGTCTCCTCCCCTCATACATCTCTATACTCCCTTTCTCTCCTTTCCTAATCTATCTCTCCACCTCCTGCTGCTGCTGCTGCTGCTGCTGCTGCTGCTGCTGCTGCTGCTGCTGCTGCGGTGTCTGTGCAG